ATAGTTTAAGTTTCACAATCCTATCCGTTATTATATACTTGAATATATGGGGCCCATATCACTAAAATAGATTATTCTTTTATTTTCTTAGAAGTTGAAGTCTTTTAATCCTGAGGCTGCTTTCTCAGGTCTTTTAATAACCCGGTTTGGGGTGGGGCGGGTATGGTATATAGCGACGGTGCCCCGCCCCGAACCGATTAACAATTAAAAAAATAATAATTGGACAATTGGGCATTCCATTATTCTTGCCCCGCCATTATTCTTGCCCCGCCCCCATTACTGGTCTGGTCGGGTTTCAGTAAAAAAAAATGGAAAAAAGAAGATACATTTATAAGTATGCAAAAGGCCCTCACATTTTCAAATTTTAAAAGGCCCTCTCGGATAATATCACACATTCACTTTCTCTCTCTAGGGTTTAAAATCAACTGCTCAAATTCACCTCCTCTCTACACTCGTGCAAGTCTTCCTATCTCTACATGAAATTATTTCATACTGTGTTTGGAGTATGCATTTTATCTCATGCACCAGTTGAAATTATGACATGTTTTTGGGGAAATTATGATATGCTGCTGTAGTTTTTATTTTTCCAGTTTTTTTTGCCCATGCATTGTTTTTCTTTTCTCTTCTTTTTTTCTTTTTTGGTTCCGATTTGATGATTTTGTTTACTAAATGTGAAAAACTGTCTATCCATAGTTATTCCCGAAATAAATGGATAGTTTTCTTGGTTTTTAATTAGTACTATTGATGGGTAATCAAGAAGTGCTCATGGAGAATTAAATTGGTTTGTGAAAAATATTTAGATGGAGGTCATGGAGAATCTATTGCTCAATAGTGTTAAAAGGCATTTAACAACGAAGCCGTGCAGTTTACCTGTGGGGCTCAGACATTGATCCTAGATGGCATATTGTTTCTTACAAATTAGCCTATTTTGTTAACATAGTGATAGAGGGTAAAAATATTTTATTTTTGTGGTTATTAATCGAACCGAACCGACTTACGTGGTTATGGTATGGCCAAAAATTTGGTAGTGCGGTTATGGTTTTGGCCGAACCGAACGGTTGCCATCCCTACCAATGTTGAGCTATATACTCCTTAGAGGTTTAACTTAGTACAATTTCTAATATAATATATTTGCTCTCTTATCCTTCAAAAGTTGATCCAGCACTATTTTCTTCTACTATCTTGTTCGTTGTCTTATTTTTTTGAATAATGAATCTTAATAAAATAC